CGGACTCCCGAGCCGGGCTCCATTGTTGTTGCAGCCGGAGGAAGGGGGAGCAGCCCAGCTTCGGGAGCGAGGGAAGCCGCGCCTTGGAGCCTTTCCAGGCGGGTCCCGGGAGAGGCGGTAATGGCCGCGCCGTGGGAGCGGGGAGTCGGCGCGGCGGCGAAGCCTCGCTGCATGCATGGGGCGCTGTTGTGTGTTTCAGAGCGCCTCGCGCCCCGCCGGAGCCCGACGAGCATCCTCCGCAGGTGATGAGCCCCTCGCGCACCCGGCGCAGAACGCCGCCGCCGCCGCCGGACGCCTCCATTGTTTGACCACAACGAGGGCCGGGTTCTCAGCCAGGTAAACCGAACGGCAGCGCGGTCGAGCTCCCTGTCTCAACTCCCACATCCAAAGGAATCCTCTCCTCTGCCAGGACTTTACTTCAGTTCTCTTGCTGTCTCCTGCTCTGACTAACTCAGTATGTCCACCTCCGAGACATATTCCCATCTGGACTAATCCGCCCGCATCTCTCTGCCAAGTCACCTCTCATTTCCCTCAAAATTCAGCTCCTTTGTGGATCCTCCCTTGCTGAACTCAAACGACTAAATCTCTCTAGGAGGAGCCTGCTCTGTCCTCTGCTAGTCGATAGTTTGCTTATTGCTCGTCTTATCACAGCAAAGGAGACCAGATAGGAATAAGTGAAAACCCTAAGTTACCGCTTTTTCAAAGGAACGTTTTGTGATAGTTTAGTGTTTTAACAGGGTCGAACTGTTTTTGTGTTTGTATTTTGTCTTCTCCTTTAGTGGGGGCCCCCACTTCCTTTATAGATGCGTAGCTTTTCAGAGCAGAAAAATGACCTTGTTTGACCCACAGGTTAGTTGAAAATTTTAAAGTAATTTTAAGACAGTGAAGTCATATATTTTTTTTGTGAAAATTAAAACATCACCGAGATGACTAGTTTTTGATTACCAACCCCTGTCTCCAAAGATGACAACTACTTTGTGTTTGGTGTGTGTACTTCTGGGTCTTTTAAAGTACTTTACGTATGCGTGGACTTGATTGCCTTTGTTTTAACAAGTACTAGTGTACTTTTTCAGTTTTAGTATGTGATGTGTTAACTCATTTTGAAGAACTGCCTCACTTTCCATAGTTTGGGTAGACCGTAGTTTATTCAGCCATTTCCTGGATCGATGCAATTTAAGTTTTAACTTTATATTTAAAACAGCATTTTTTTTTTGTGGTGGTTCTCTGGTGAAATGAAATTTTAGTGAAGGGAACGCAAATCTACACTGGTTGCAGAGAGCAGGCGTTTATGATGGAGTCCTCTGCCCTTCCCCCATTGTGGCTATGACTACTACCTTCAGGTCCTGTGACCTTGAGGAGGATACTTAACCACTCAGCCTCAGTTTTCTTTTCTATAAATGGTGATAACACCTGCTCTGTTTACTCCACGGAGTTTAGTGATATGAAGTATGTGAAAGTGCTTTGTAAAGTAGTATATAAATGTTGGTTTTATTAGCCTTTATTAGATCCAAAAGGATTTTTTATTTGCAATATAATTTATATTTTCTTTTTTGATCAGACGTGTGTATTACAGAATACTACAGATAGCCAACTCTGAATGCTTTTTAACTCATGATTTTGTTGGTTAATTTTTATCAAGTACTGTTAACATATTAGACTTCTTAATATTTTCCAAAGCACATTTTTCCTAGTGTTTTACATGTCCTAAAAAATGAGGCACATAAATTAGTTGACTATGAATAAAATATTAGCGAGTTGAACACTACATAAAAGTCTCATAATATTTAAAGAAAACTTATTTCCTAGCGATGTAGGTTTGTATGTGCGTTTTCCTGTGGCGGCACCAGGATCAGTTTAGCTTTATGTCCTTTGGATAAAATGGATTCTGTATAAATTCGTAGGCAGTATCAGAAAGAGTTTAGCAGTTTAGATATCAATTGATGTGATGCATCATTTGAAGATGTAAGAGATAGGATTAGGGGCTCTGTACAATCACGATGGCATGTACAATCACAAACTGGTATCTGATAGGGAATTAAGTGGCACTGGCTATAAGGGAGTATTGAAAGGGTACCAAATTTTAGAGTGTGAGGAGAGGGCCCAGGAAAGACTTTTTTTTTTTTTTTTTTTTTTAAAAAAATACATTTCCGTCTTCCATTTAAGAAATAAGATTTGAGCAGTGAAATCAGAAGGGCGAGTAGGCGTTAGTGTAGAATGAGGTGGGGGATAGTTTTCCAGGCAGGGGAATGGCATGTGGGGCGGTCCTGAAGGGGGAAAATGCTTTGCCCATTACAGGAACTGAAAAGGATGACTTGTAGATAGATTATGGTGGGTGAGGGGGAGTGTGGCTAGGCTGGGGGCCAGATCATGTAGGGTCTTGTAGGGCGGGTTAAGGATGTTTTATCTTGAGTGAAATGGGAGACTATTACAAGGGTTGGGTTTTAGGCAGAGGAATGACATAATCAGATTTGCATTTTTAAACCACTCCAGCTGCTACATACAGAATGTGGAGGCGTGGTGGGGGTAGAGAGTGGACGTGGGGGAGATGAGGTAGGCCATTTCAGAGATCTATCTAGAAGAGAAGTGGCCTTTCCCTTGGAGTGTACATTGAACGCAAACTACCAACTACACTAAGGTTAAAATAGATAACTTGGTTAAAAATTGTTTTCATTTATTTTTAAAAAGTGGGGAAAAGGACTTTTTTAAGTGCAAAAAATACGCATAAATGTTAAACTAGTTGTCCACAGCATATAAAAAAGTGTGAGTCAAGTCAAAAGTTGAGATATTATTTAAAATGGTTTCTATAAGTTTTGTTAAAACAGTAATACATGGAATAAAAGTGAGGTGAGGATCTAAAATGAAAAGAGAAATATTTGTAGATGCTATTGACACAAAAATGAGTAAAAATGAGTAACTAAAAATTGAGGAAGCGACTGGGTACAGAATGCATATACAAAATTCATAGGTTTCTGAATACCAAAAATAACCGGTCAGAAGCGAAAATGGAAAAAGAAAAAACAGGCTCTGATTACAACGCAACAGAAAAATATAAAACATCTAAGTACAGCGTTATTGACAAGAGCAGTTCACGTGAAGGAGACCATAAAACACCGTGAAAGATTGGAAAGACTGTCCTAAATGGAAAGACAGGTCGTGTTCCTGGATGTGATGTTTAACTATTACAGAGATGCCCATTTTGGGGTGAACTAGACAGAATAATTATGAGTAATGAGGTGGGACAAACCCTATCTGATGTTTAAGCACATAGAGGCACATTCATTTAAAACAGCATCGTGCTAGGTTTGGAGTATCTGTACCATGGGTCGCTGGAACCTATTCAGGCTGGAACCACAGGCTTTGCAATCAGACATACCTGAACTGGAATCTTCTAAGTAAGGAAAATAATACTTATCATGTGGGTGTTGTGAGCGAAAGAGATGTAGGTCCTGGTACCTACGGGGCACTCAAATCTGCATTTGAGTTAAAGTCAGTGTATTAGACTGATAAAAAATTTTTAAACTTCTTAAGAAAGGGAAACAAAACCTTAGGATTAAAAGCCAAACCACAAAGTAGGAAAGTATTTGTGACAAACATAAGAGTTAATATCTTCAGTAGGTCAAGAATGCATAAAATTAATGAGAAAAATTATGAAAATTCACACTAGTGGTTACAGGATGTGGATAGACCACTAGGTAGAAATTTATTAAATATTTGGAAAGGTATAGTCTCAGTAATGGTCAAATAATTTATAATCACTTCTACGGAAAAGTAAGATCCTATTCACAATGGCATAAAATTAGAAGATACTTAAGAATGAGACATAAATGTACAAGAGCTTTATGAAGAAAAGTAAAAACCTTTACCTAAAGAATTGAAAAGTTAACCTAAATAAACGGGCAGACATTACATGTTTATGGAAGAGACACATTGTAAAGATTGCAGTAGTCTACAAATAAAACTAATTCTTATTGAAATCCCGGTGAGAATTGGTTTTGGACACTTGATAAATTGCTTCTAAAAGTCATCTAGAGGACTAAAGGTGCTAGAATGGCCAAGAACTTTTCAAATGGAAAAATAGTGATGGAGGATTTGCTGTCAGCTATCAAAAACATACTGTAATGCTGCAGTAACATAAATGGCGAGTGCAAGAATAGATAAATTGGTCCATGGACCAAAGTAGAATCCAGTAACACCCACATATATATATATAGGAATTAAGTCTATAATATAAAATTGGTCTAAAGTCTATCTAAAATTGGTCTTAAGTCTATCTAAAATAAAAAACTACACACGTATGCTTTGATCTCGCAGGTACACATCAAGGAATCTACGATATTCTCATAAGAGGATATAAGTAAGTATGAATGAAGTCTATTATAGCATCGCTTACAATGAAAAATTGGAGATAACCGCAAATAAGTGTTGGTACCACTATACTGTAGAACGTTATGTAACTTTTAAAAAGAGAGGTAGATTTGTATGTATTGACATAGCCTGGATAGATGTCTAGAATAATTATTGAGCCAAAAAAAAGCAAGTTTTATTCCATTTTTTGTGAGATGCGACATAATCGTGTGTGTGTTCATTCTGAATAAAATTAGGAAAAGGTCTAGACATCTATGAAAAACGTGACTACTGAGGGGAAAAGCATGGGGAAACTGATTTTTTATTTCAGATGCTTTTTCGTTGTTTACTTTTTTAAAATAGGATTTACTTTTGTATTAAAGATGTTAGTTTTTCACTTATCAATTAAACAAGGTCCTAAATTTAGACTAAAAAATTATAGTACCTAGTACTTAAGAGAATGAGGTAACGATGTCACACTCGTATGTTACATTCGTCGCTTGTATCAAGAGCCTTAAAGTATTCTTAACTCTGCCGTAGCAACCATGTAGGAACCATCAAAGGAGCATTTTTAAATAGAAGCTTTACACACAAAAGACACATATGGTAGAATTATTTTTAAGGGTGCTATTGCATAATGGTTAAGTTATGATTCATCTACTGGATAATATAATGGCCATTAAAATGTTTATGAAGAAAATGTATTAAAATGTTAAGTGGAAGAATATGAGGACACAAAATCGCATATGTAATATGATTAAAATTCTTAAAAATCCAACAGACATCCACAAAAGCTATGATAGAAAAATGTCTAGAAGAAATTAGATGACAATCTTAAAAATTGTGTACTTTGGGAGATAGGATGTTGGGTGACTTAAAAAGTTTGCTCTTTTATATTTTTTAACATTATATGTAATATGTTTATAATGGAACATTTGGTTTTAAAAAGTATACCTAGGACATATGTTAGTTGCATGGTTAATAGGTATGTG